CGCACATTCATTTACATCTAGCAAAAAAGAGGGCAAAAGTTGCTACGTGAGTCAAGCATCTCAGAAGGGGGCGGCCTGAAAACTCATTATTTTGCTACCATTATGATGATTCAATAGGACTAATGGTTGGACGAAACATGAGTCAAAACCCAGAATTTCTAAACACGGGCTGGGAGTGCATGTTGCTGGCCAAAGGCAAACATTTATTTCAAGCCATTCACGCATAAACCCCAAGGAGATAATTTTTGAATGAATAGTCTAAGGCAGGGATCCTCGAACTTTTTAAACAGGGGGCCAGTTCACTGTCCCTCAGACCGTTGGAGGGCTAGACTGCAGGCCCTAGGATGAGTTGCCTGCTAAGCAGGACAGGCAGTGGCAGCAAAAACACCCAGTGGGCCAGATAAATGTCCTTAGTGAGCCATATGTGGCCCACAGACCGTAGTTTGAGGACGCCTGGTCTAAGGATTCTTAAAATCTCCTTAAAAGATGGATACTTAGAAGAAAAATACACTAACAATTTCTTTATAATATAAAGAAATATATAGTGGTGGTCTAGAAATCATGCTTGCTAGTGAATTTAAGAACTACTTAATACAGGTGCAAAATTATAAAACTTAACTTGAAATTTCCAGGAATTGCCACAAGCGTTTTCTTTTCATAACCCCAGCCCAAGATGCCCCTCCTTTCAAACTTCACTAGGTCACACTTTAGTTTTTAAATATCTGATGAATCTGATGAATAGGGGCTAAAATCATGGATCATTGAAGATTCTAAAGACAGTAGATACGTGTCTTCCACAGACACGATGCTGGAGCTGGCAAAGTAAAAACAAGGGCTGGGCTGCGCCTGTGGCTCAAAGGAGTAGGGCGCTGGCCCCATATACCAGAGGTGGTGGGTTCAAACCCAGCCTCAACCAAAAAACAGTAAAAACAAGGGCTGCCTGAGGGGCATGGAGGACGCGGCTCTTACCCGCACAGCTGCGCCCATCTCCCTGGTACCCAGGTGCACACTCACAGGTGTAATCCACACCTGACCCCGGATGGCACTGTGCTGTTGTGTCACACGTGTGGCTCCCATCGTAGCAAGGATTCACTGGAGTGGGGTCTGAGTCCCCTGCATGGGTAGAAAGGGAATTTTAAAAGCTAAGAGTGTGACGCAGAAGGAAGAAGACAGAAGCGTCCCTGGAAGGGACGGCAGGCTCATCTGCTCTGTGGCACAGCCAGAGACCTGACTATTGATGAATTATCAATATCCAAAGGCAGGGTGGCTCATCTGCGTCTCAGGCTTAAACTCCAGAGTGGTTTCCCATCACCTGCCCTATACACAACAAGTACCTTTTCTTAATTTCAGTAGGTTTGCACCCAGGGCACAAAAATGCCCAACACGTCTTTTTATTTAAAAGTGCTTTTGCTCTGTCACCTCCGTGATTCTGAGACTAGCTCTGTTGGGGACTTGTCCCTAACATGGGTAGACTTCACAGATAAGGAAAGTAAGTGAGAGGTGCAGCCAGGACTCAAACCGCAAATTCCTGACTCTAAATCTGGCAATCCCACACTAAAAATTCACTGTTCTTATAGGTGAAGTCCAATTAATAAAAATATCTTGTCTTCTAACTATTTCTAAGGCCACATAAACAGAGTGACTTTCCCAGCATTCACTGTCCAGTAGTAATGGTGTCACAAACCCACCAGGTGCTGATGACTGTGAACTTCTGAGCCTCCCCCAAGGACTATGTCTGGATACAGTGTAACAGTTATGGCCCCTTGAGCCCAGGCACTGCTCTGAGCCACCTGTGTCTATCTGCCTGCCTGTCTTGAGTCCGCCTCCCCATTCCGAGTCCACCTCCCCATCGTGTGTCCAAAAAGTGTTCACCTCCCCATCACGAGGCCACCTCCCCATCCTGAGTCCACCTCCCCATCACGAGGCCACCTCCCCATCCTGAGTCCACCTCCCCATCACGAGACCACCTCCCCATCCTGAGTCCACCTCCCCATCAAGTGTCTGCCTCCCCAACTTGTCCTCCTAACCGCCTGGTGAGGAAGGAGTTATCAGCGTCCTGTCTCCATTTATCTGCAGCACACAGAGGCCGAGGAACCTGCCCGGGTTATACAGTCAGTAGAGGTACACGGAGCTGGAGTGGATAAAAACCCAGACGACCGGCTCCCACGCTCATGCTCCCCACCACTTTGCTGCGTCTTTGACCACAGAGTGTCAGGAAGTCATCTAGTCTAAGCCAAGGACACAAAGAGGCGGGAAGGGGCCCCAGATGCCCAGCTGGGGTGAATCCATTAATTTGTGGCACCTCTGTGTACTTCTGATGCCTTACGTGTAAAAGTAAAGATAAAAATGCTTATACTAATATCTGCCAGACTGCTAAAAATACAAATCCTAAAGACCCAATACGACGCATCTGAAAGGCAATTCCCGTGGCCGGCGGCCCAGCTTCCAGCGACTGCCATCCTCTTCCCACTCCACGCGCCGCTGCTCATCCTCATTAGAGGGTCTCACTTTGCCTCGGTCCCTAGGAATTCAGGAGCCCCAACTAAGCCCGGGAGGCTTGAGCTGCTTCTACTTCTAAGGGGCTCCATCTCTGGATGGAGCCTCTGCCCCGTACTTCTGTGGCTGTGTCCCTGGTCTCGGCAGCCAGCTCAGTACGTTCCAGGTCCTGCCTCTGGACTGGAAGCCACTGCACTCCAGTCCTCTGGCCCCCCAGACACCAGCGCCTGGCATCTGGTGACAATTTTATGACTTTTCTCTTCCATCCAAGTCAAATAATTATAGTTAATAATAATAGCTAAGGATAGATTACTTGGTGCCATGCACTGTTCTATATGAATTAACTCATTTAAGCCCCCAAACAACCTCTCCCCAATGGAGAAGCCATTGATCCCTCTGGCCCCCGAGACACCAGCACCCCAGGCTGACAAATTTATATATATATAGAGAGAGAGTCTTTCTCTCCCTGGCTAGGGTGCAGTAGTGTGAGCCTAGCTCACTGCAACCTCAAACTACTGAGCTCACATGATCCTCCTGCCTCAGCCTCCCTAGTAGCTGGGACTATAGGAACCTGCCACAACACCTGGCTAATTTTTCTACTTTTAATAGAGATGGGGTCTCACTCTTGCTTAGGTTGGTTTCGAACCCTTCTCCTTAGGGATCCTCCCAGAATGCTAAGATCACAGGTGTGACCCTCGCACCTGGCCTGCAGGCTGACTTCTCTATCCTTTCACTCTCTCTCAGCCAAGTCAGCCCAAGCCTCCCCATCTCGTTGGCTGAGACTGGCCCAAAGCAACATCCACTTCAGATCCCACATGCTTACTGCTGCAGCCTGCCCAGCAGGCAGACTCCCTCCCAGGCTTCCAGTGTTTGCCCCCCACCCAGGACAAAATGGCTCTTCCCATTTTGTCTACTTGTCTGCCGTGAACTAGGGGGCCTTGGCTGAGACACTCTCGTTTCCTGGCAAAGTCCTGCCATCCTCTTTGTAAGTAACATCACCATGTGGCAGAATATCCCCGTATTACTGATTCTCATATTATTGGCTAAAAGTTAGGCGGGCTATCGGTTGTCCCTGCTTCACCTCAATGACCTTGGCTACAGTAACAGAATCTTTGCCAACACAGTGAACAAATGGTTCCGGCACTTTGTCAGTGTAAACCTAGCTCCCTGAATCACACAAACATCCCTGGAAGTCCCTCTCTCTGGACCCCCTGGCATACAGGACCACCGGGGCTGTGGTCACTGAGTCAGCCTGAGAACACAGACCAGGTTCTGGAGTCAGGCCCCAAACACACAATAGGGTCTGGTGCTCACGGAAGACGCCTCACGAGAGACCCTCTGGGCTACTTCTCCGTCTTAGAAGAATCTATACAAAGTGTCTGGCATATCCTGCCAAGGGGGATGTAATCCTCAGGTTGTCTTAATTTATAAACACTCATGCTGGCCTTCTTGTTCAATCCTTTCCAGCATCAAAATTTCACCCTGGCACATTCCAGCAAAGATTAGTGAGTTCACGTGGATGACAAGAGCTTACTACCCTGCTAGGCATTAAAGAAAAAAACAAACCATGCAGCTCACAAGCTGACTAGCAGGCTCGGATGGGGTTCACTAGCCCACCTGAAATTAAAAGGGAATGTCCATTAATTACATGATACCGACTTAAAACGTACTTCACTGACAGGGCCAAATACATAATTTGAAGAGCCCAGTGCAGAATGAAAACATGCAGTCCCTTATTCAAAACTTAAAAACTTCAGCAAAGCATTAAACCAAGCACGAAGACCTTCTGAGCTCGGGCCCTGTTCACTGAACTTGGCATCCAGAAATATTTTAAAAATACATTTCTAAAACCATTTCACTATTGACTCTCCACGGCCTGTTAGCTTTTCTCCTATTATAGTCAGTAAAGAAAGGCAATATCCTTCTTAAGACATTTTGTATTTCACCCTCACCCTCTTAAACTGTTGGCCTCTGACAGAGGATCTGGAACTAATTTACCCATTTAATTAGGAGGGAAGAGCAGTTTTCCTTAAAGGAACAGTCTGTTCACTTCACCCATGGCCTCTGCCCAAAGTCTCCCCAACTCACCCAAAGGACCCCTGCAGTGGAAGGATGGGAAGCATTTGGGATCCTGTTCTGTGACCCCACAAAAAACAGCCGCCCCACACTTGAAGCTCAGACGATTAGGAGGTAGCACCAGTGTTCAGGAGCCAGTGAGGGCTGCAGGCTGAGATTGCACCCTGACCCTGGGAGCCACCACCCCCACACCCCGGGCCAAGTGGGCCAGCTGTGCTGTTTCCCCGCACATTCCAGATAACAGCTCCCTCTGGAAAAGTGAGAGACTCAAGAAGATACTTCTCTGCATGAAGAGAGGAAAGAAAAGAGGCTTTAATTTTTCTGTTTCTTTTGTTCTTTTCTCTGTTTCATTTCTCTCCTATGCAGGTAGAGTGAACCGTACTGCTGTGAGTGGATTATGTACAGTTCAAACACAAAGGCTTTCACAACATACACTGGTCTGTTTAAATTTAGTCTAAATTATGAGGCAAGCTACGAGGCCAGGGATGCCACAGGGGACAGCACGGCCATGAGGGGTAAGAGTGTGGGCTCTGGAGCAGGTGTCCAGATGTGAGTTCCAGCTCCCGGCTTACTGTGACCTCAGTCTTGTGATCTGTAAAATTAATTAATAATAATACTATGCTTCTCCATTGGGGAGAGGTTGTTTGGGGGCTTAAATGAGTTAATTCCTATAAGGTACTTAGAACAGTGCATGGCACCAAGTAATCTATCCTTAGCTATTATTATTAACTATTATTATTTGACTTGGATGGAAGAGAAACCTTAGCTATTATTATTAACTATTATTATTTGACTTGGGTGGAAGAGAAAAGTCATAAAATTCTAAGGACATGGAAGCAACTTAGTACCTGGCAGTTGTGGGCTTTCCCTGGTCCTTGCCTACTCCCATTTGGCATGTCTAGGAAAACATACCCTGAGATATATCTTTTCCCTAAATGAACCCAGAATCTGAATGTGACTCTACTGCCTGCGAGATTCTTTCACAGACTGTTTTAATAGATGAGACGGCTACACCGAGCAAAGGGCCGAACAGGACATTTAAAGGTAAGGAACGTGTTCATTGTAATTTTTGTTTTAGTCTCTCTTTAAGAAATCTGCAATAACAATCTTTTCCTTCGTAATTTACATACTCCTCTATAATCAACTAACATTTTGACATATTGATTCATAATCTTACAATACCAGCTTTGGCCACCCAAAGCCTACATCTTAAAACAAGCTTCCTAAAACTGAACCAAGCCAACAAACTCTGGTTCTCTGAGTCATTTCTGCAACCTCTGGACCTTACGCTCTCACTACCACATAGCTAGAGGTGACTCTTCCTGGCTGAGTTTACTGAGACTTGAGGAACCCTCGGCTCCAGCAATAAAGTACACACTCAGGGGTTACAGATCCGCCTCTCCAAAGCACTAATTCAGGGCTCCACAGTATCAGCACAGAAACGGAATGAGGGCGACATTCTTCTCCTCACAGGGCTCTTCCGTTCTAGGAGAAAACGTCCCCTTGATTTGATACAGTCATTCCCCATCTCTAGAGTTCCCTGACTTTACAAGCTTATCCTCTGGCTACCCTAGGACATTTTAAAAGGATTAGTAGACTTTATCTTTTAGAACAGTGTCAGGCTTATAGAAAAATACAGAAAGCATAGAACTTCCATGTGCCCTCCCTACTCACACAGTCTCCCCTATCTAACATCGTGCATGGCTGTGGACGTGTGTTATCACTGATGAACTCACACTGACACGGTACTGGAGCCCACAGTTCTTGTGAGGGCTCACCTCTGTGTTGTACAGCTCTGTAGATTTTAACAAACGCATAGTGGGTTAGATCCAACACCACAGTATCATGCAGAATAGTAACACGGCCCTGAGAAATCCCGCGTTCCTCCTAATCCCACCTCTCCTCCGGCCCCGAGTCCCTGGCAGCCACTGTCTTTCTACTGTCTCTACACTTTAACCTTTTCCAGAACCTCACATATTGGGAATCACACGGTGTGATGCCTTTTCAGCCTGGCTTCTCTCACACCGCAACCTGCATTTAAGTGTCCTCCACGCCTTTCCTTGTCTTGGTAGCTGTAGAACATTTTAAGGTGCATGTTTTAAATCAGTCTTCACAGATGAGACTAATGCTCATTGAAATTTGAGGAGAATTCCTGAAGAGTTTTGTTTCCACCATTGTTTTCTTCAATGGAGATATAACACACACACCTCACAGCTCATTCAAAGTGCACCACTAAATTATTTTTTAGTCTATTCACGGAGTTGCAGAAACATCACCACAGTCAATTTCAGAACACTTTGATCATTCCCCAAAGAAACCTGGTACCCTGTAGCTGTTGGCTGCCTACGTCCCCCCATGCCAACCTCCCAGTCCCTGGGCACCGGCGATCTTTCCGTCTCTATGAATTTTCCTCTTCTACATATGCCACAGGAGCAGAAGCACGCACTGCTCTGTGCTTTCTGCCCGGATGCCGTCGCCTAGCACGTTTTCAGTGTTGGTCCACGTTGGAGTATGTACAATCATACTCCATTCCTTTCTTGGGGAATATTCCATTGTCTGAATATGAGCTTTTGCATCTGTTCATCAACAACGGGACATTTGGGTTGTTCCCTATTTTGGCTATCATGTTGCTGTGAATATCTGTGCACAAATTTCTGTGCAGACATAGTTTTCATGTCTCTCCAAGTGATAGAGTTGGACGTGGAATTGCTCTGACAGACAACTTTGTACGTACATTTCTGGAGAAGCGACTATCCTGTTTTTCACAGTCGCTGCACCACTTTCTACTCACAGCGGCATCTATGAGGTTCCAGATTCTCCACTTCCTCCCCAACACTTGTTCTTACCCATTTTTTATTGTAGTTGTCCGTATGCCATTAGGTCATATTTCCCTGTGGTTTTGACCTGAGTTTCTCTGACGACGAATGCTATTGAGCATCTTTTCATGGGTTCATGGAGTATCTGTATAGATTTTTTGGAGAAATGTCTTTCCAGAATCTTTGCCAATCTTTGAATTAGATAACTTGGTTTTATTATTGACTCGTAAGAGTGTGCCATATATTCTAGAACAAGGCTCTTATTAAATATACGGCTTAAAATATTTTCTCCCATGGACTGTGTTTTTCACTTTGTTGAAGCACAAAGGGTTTTAAGTTTGATGACAACCAATTTATTTTTCCTTCAGTTGCCTGTGCTTGGAGTGTCATGTCTAAGAAATCATTGCCAAATTCAAGGTCACAAAAATTTACCCTCATGTTTTCTTATAAAAATTTTAGCTCTTTCATTTAGGGCCAGGGCCCATGTAGAGTTAATTTTTGTATATGATGTGGGGAGCTCAATTTATTCTTTTGTATGTGGTTAGTGAGTGGTCCCAGCACCACCTGTTAAAGACTATTCTTTCTCCATTGATTGTTTTGGTCCCCTGATCAAAAAAGCAATTGACTGTAAAAGTGCATTTATTTCTGGCTTCTCACTTCTATTCCATTGATCTATATGTCTGTCCTAGGCCAGGTCCACACTGTCCTGACCACTCTAAGTTTTGAAATTGAGTCTTTCAAATTTATGTTTCTTTTCTGAGATTGTTTTGGTGATTCTAACTTCCATGAACTTCCATTTGAATTTTAGAATGAGTTTGCCAATTTCTGCAAAAAGCCAGCTGCAAAAATTCAATGTAATTCCATTAGGGATTATATTGAATCCATAGATTAATTTGGGGAGAATTGGGGAAATATTGCTGTTTCAACAATATTAAAATTTCCAATCCATGAACACAGGACATCCTTCCATGTATTGGGGTTTTCTTTAATTTGTTTTTCAAAAATGTTTTATAGGTTTCCATGTACAAATATTGCGCTCCTTTAAAAAAAATTATTCCTAAACATTTTATTCCTTTTGCAAGGAAATTTCACGTTCACTTGGCTCATTGCTACTCTAGAGAAATATGATACATTCTGGTGTCTTGATCATGTAACCTGTAACATTACTGGACTTGTTAGTTCTAACAGCTTTTTAGTGAATTCCTTAGATTTCTACACAAAAGATCATGTCACCTGAGAATAGAGATCATTTGACTTCTTCCTTTCCAATTAGATGCCTTTTATCTCCTGTTCTTCCATGACACCCTGGGTGGAACTTCCCACACTGGTGAATAGACAGGGCAGGAGCAGACACCCTCATTTCGTGTCTGACACTGAGCGGAAGGCATTCAGCATTTCAGTATCCAGTATAATGTTCTTGGGTGATTTCTATACATAAAGTTCTATTTTGTTTGGTTTTTCCAGGCTTTGGCTCTTTGCGCTACCTTGGTTTGGTGAATTCCTATCATCCTTTAAGCTTTAGCTGAAATGTCCCTTCCTTGGAGACATCTTTCTGGAACCTCCAGAGGAGACTCACAGCATCCCGCCCTTCCACGACTGTAGCAAATAACTTGTCAGCATCTCTCTCCCTCCTGACGTGGCCCCAGCTTGGCCACGGGCAGACTCCTGATAGGCACATACAGTTGGGGATAGCTACGAACCACGCACGCTCTAATTCCTGCTCTGGCAGGGACATTGTTCCCTATTCTAAAAGTTCCATTTCTGCCTCTGTCTCCACTTCAAGGACCCTGTTTTGTTTATCCTTCCATTCAGCACCACACACGGAGCCAGCCACTCAGTAGCCTTTAGTGACCACTGAGAATTACTGTTCTAAGGCCACTCAAAGAGGAGGTAAGTTTTGCCCAAGAGCAACAAAAAAGGAAGCCTTACCTTCGACAGGGCCAATCTGATTGGTCACAGCAAATCTGAGGACTCTCTCTTCATCACTGTACAAGGCAAAAACCCGGTCCACGGTCAGCTGCTGGGTGGCGGGGACGGCCGAGCGCCTGGCGGCGTGCCTGCACACCTGGTAAGTGACGTTCTGGCGGATGCGGTAGGACCGAGTCAGGTTGATGGCACCGGAGGTGAGAGAGTACTCTCTGGAACTGGTGGAGGTCACGGCTGCAACAGAAACATGGGACAGGCAAACTGGTCAATTTAAAAAATATTCAGTGGAGATTTTCACAAGGAGTAGGTACTTCTGCACAGTTTTTCATCTGATTCTTGGACCACGTTCCCCTTGGGAGCTTCCTGGGGTTGAACAGGAAACTTGCAAGGAAATGTCAAGAACCAGAGAGGAGGCAAAGTCACAGGGCCCAGAGGGAGGAGGCCCTGCGGTTGTTGCTGTCGTTATATACAAGGAATAAACTGGTTACCCTGTGCGTGCACACCGGGGGCTCTACGTGCCACCTGGGCTGCCCTCACGATTTCTCACAACAGCCCAGCAAAGTGGGTGCTGCAGTCACGTGAGCAGAGCCTCTCTGAGCATCAGTGGGAGGCAGGGCTGGTGCGTGGTAGAGCTGGACTAAAACTCCAGTCATGCTGAGTGTTCGGCCAATCCAGCCTCCGCATTTCACAGAGGTGAGGGCTCCCAACACCTGGTACTTCCGTAAGTCTTATGAAGGGTTCTAGGCAAAGGAAAGGGTCGTGTCTCTTGATCTGAGTCTGGAGGTCCAGCCCAGCACAGCGCTGTGCCCCTGAGCCACTGGGCACACGGTCCCAGTATCTACTTCCCATCCACTTCCCTGTGCCTCTCACAGAGCAGAGGAGCTCGGGGCTGGGGAAAGGCACCACTCAGAGCTGCAGCCGCGACCGAGGCAGTGTCTCTCATGCAGAAAGGATTTTGCCGGATACATCACACTTTACACAAGTTGCTGACCATGTGTAGTGGACAAAGTAACTTTGTTCCCACGCTAAAGATGAGGAAATAGGCTCTGAGTATTAAGTGATCTTCCCCTTAGATTTTATTGGTTTGTATTTATTTTTTATTGCATGGGATTTTTTTCCCCATGAAAACCAGAAACCCTGCTAGAGAAATTCTAAAATAGCCGTAACACCTCCCCACAGATTTTAAATGCTGAGTCCAGGATGTGAATTCTTATCCTCTAACTCTGAATCGAGCCCTGCTTCTGTAATACTGTGCGATATCTCTATGATTTTTGACACAAGCTGAAATCACCAACTAAAAAAGTTACCAAACAAATATAAATTCAATAGTCTGTATTTTCCCATGCCCCAGAAGGCAGGATGGTTAAAAACTCTCTATATAGTTATGCCACCCCTACCTACCCCATAGACAACATTGTTACCAATTATTTAATGGTATGGGGTAGGGACAGACATTCCTGTGATAGCAGACAGCATGCTGCTCACTCCCATTATGTGTTTGATAATAATAATAATGATATTGAGCCCACATTATGTGCCTGGCACTGTTCTAGAACATTCCAGTAGTAACTCATTTAATTACCATAACTATCCTGTGAGGCAGGACTCCATTTTACAGACGTGGAAACAGGTTGCACGTACCTGAGTCCGAGTACTGGTACAGCTCCTTGTAGGGGGCAATGTGGGCTGTGAAATTTTCTGGGATGTAAGGTAGCTGGCCTTGAATGTTGGTCTTAATGCTCAGATAGTTTTCTGGATCAAGTCCCTCGGCCGTCTGAGTGATATGAACCCTCTCCTCTCCCGGGGAGAAAGTAATTTCCATGTTGTGGGTAAAGGTGGCACCTGGAGAGGAAAATAATCAGTCCAGCACAGGGCTGAGAAGAGGACTGGCTCACGTGCCTGCCAGGGCACTACCTTCTCCCACCGACTTCTGCTGTTGGGACGGAGGGGTTCCCTGATATCCGGACCATCAGCTGTTGATTCCTTAAGTTCCCCAGATTTTTGAGAAGCATGTCCATCCTGCCGCACCCCACACCACCTCCCTGTGCGGCACCTGTGTTCCAAGAGACACATACTCTTGAGCACCCTGACTTTTCTCCTAGGCTGCCAGACTTAACAGAAACAAACAAGCACCAAAAAAACAAAAACATAACAGGATACCGAATTAAATTTGAAATTCAGATAACTATATCCCATGAAATATATGGGGGATACTTATATTAATACAAGAAAATTATTCATCTGAAATTCAAATTTAACTAGACATGCCATTTTATCTACCTACTCTTGACCCAAGGTTTTATTTAAATCTTGATTAAAGGTGAGATCCTGCAGACGGCTGTCACACTGTGCAGGTGGACCTGGAGGGCCTCTTTTCTTACAGCACTTGATTTTTCATGTCATAAAGTTAAGACCAGCAGGAAATACACTTGTTCAGGTGAGAAACTAAGATGTGCCACAGCTGTGGCAGGGTGGTCCCAACACAGGCGGTGCTGGCAGCTCCCAGGAGCTTGTCAGAAAAGCAAACTCACAGGCCTGGTCCAGGCCTAACGGATCAGGTGCATTTTCACAAGCCCTCCAGGACATGTGTGTGCAGGTTAAGGTCTGAGATGCACTTTCCTATATATACCGATGCAGGTCAGGGAAGGGGGTGGAGAAAAGGCAGGGCGTCCCGCCCCAAGAAGGAAAGTCATCTCCATGCCCTGTAAGTACTGTCTTTGCCATTGAAGAGACTTGTGCACAATAATTCAATTAGACAAAGCCTGGCAAATAATGCTTCAATGAATAGAGGTGAGAAGAACATAAATGCTCCAAATGGAATCATCCTATTTCTCAAAACAGCTGTGAGAACATTTAGAAAAAAGTCACCCTTTCATAAAGCAGTTGCATGAGGTCAAACCATCCCTGACTTCCTCCTGACAGAAAACCACCTGCAGCTCTTTCCACCTGAGGCTCTCTGCTTGCTGAATAAGCAAACCTCTTCCACTGTGGAAAGGCCCAAAGTAGGGTCCCCCAAGTGCCAAACTGAGAAATCCTCCCAGCCAGCCCTCAGGGCCACTCACCTGTGAGGCTGAAGCCATTCTCAGAGCCTGGCTTTTCTAAAGCAAAGAGCCAGCCAAACAGACCCCCGACAGGTGTGAGGGGCAGGAGGGCCATGGCCGCTGGCTGCGGGATGTGGCTGATGGCCGTGTAGGCCCTGCCATCATTGCCCACAATGTAGGCATGCAGGTCCACATCGGCAAAGTCCACGGGGGTGTGGCCCACAAGGAGGTGTCCGCTCACTTTCCCGTTGACTCGATGAGGGGCCCCTGAAAGACAGCAGATGCACCCAGCCACAGGCATCAGGGATTTATGCACCCAGATAAACTAAATCCACCAACAACTTCCAAATCTCACTTTTTTTTTTTTTTTTTTGAGACAGCTCTGTTGTCTGGTCTAGAGTGCCGTGGCATTGGCCTAGCTCATAGAACCTCAACACCTGGTTTCAAGTGATCCTCCTTCCTCAGCCTCCTGAGTAGCTGGGACTACAGGCCGCCACAATGTCCAGCTAATTGTTTCTATTTTTAGTAGAGACAGGGTCTTTCCCTTGCTCAGGCTAGTCTTGAACTCCTGAGCTCAAGAGATCCACATGCCTCAGCCTCCCAGAGTGTTGAGATTACAGGCATGAGCCACCACATCGGTGTTTAGCAAGTCATTTTAATGAAGGCAAATCACCAACTGCCCATTATGAGACAGTTCCACCTGCTGTCTCTTTTCTCACATCTCCCCTCCCCCCCCCACTTTGGCTCCAATGAGATAGCAAAAAGAAGGACTTTTCTGGGCAATCCTCAAATTGGGAAAGCAGCCAAAACCCGCTAACTCCTCCAGTGTTTACTGAGCATCTGTGAGCTCCTAGCATTCTGACTTGAGTAATGGCAGTGCCAGGACATAAAGCAGAGCTCGCATGGCAGCTGGGAATAACAGGTGGCAGGGACACACAGCAGCCCGGCCAGTCACCTTCCGGAAGGCAATGCTTCCCGTCTCCATAGAACCTGGACTGGCAGTGACAGCAGAAGCCGGTGGCGTAGTCCGTGCAGAAGGCATGCCGGGAGCACTGGCCGTGCTTGTGCTCACAGGTTTCCCTGCTGGCAGCGTTGTATGTGAACACTGAAAAACAAAACAAACTTGCGTCACAAGGACTGAGTGATTCCCATGTCATTGCTGCCAAGCGTCATCATATATGCAGCCTCTGCTCCAGAAAAGTGGCTTAGATTACAATAAACAAAGAGGTTTGGCTGTTTCAGAGACAGGAATAACATTCAACCCAGAGGAATTAACTTGCTGTGGCTGCTGCGGATGGGGGACGCAGCCTCGCTGCAACGCTGGGGGACTGAGGTGGGGCTGCACCGGTTTGAGCGCCATGTGATGAAGCAGAACAGTAAGTGCATGTTGGGCTGATGTGTAAAAAACATCATTTTTGTGAACCAAAAATAGCCAAATATCAACAATTCTATATAGTTCCCTCACTAGTGATGCCCTCCTGGGAGGAAGACACAAGGAAAGGTGCTAACAAGGCTGGTCCATGTCCAGCCGGTCTTCTCTTCTTTTAGGTAGCCATGAAATTAAAAAAAAAAAAATCTAGCTGGCCTACAGCCCAGATTATTACCCCCCAAGAGAGAGAAAGGTCTTAACTGGCACCAAGCTTAAAGAAAGTGGGCAGAGGAGAAAGGAGGAGGCAAAGAACAGGGAATCAAGCCAGAACACCATGTGCCCAGGCAGGGTTCACTGGGAAGGGCACGAGAGGGATTTCCATTCAACAGAAGGCAGCGTGGGCCACAGTCAGAGGGGGCCCAGGACGCCAGGGTGGCCAGGGGAAGCTCAGTGCTCCAGGAGCTGTTTCTTCTATTTCCCACTTATTCTATCCAAAAAAGAAGAGGAAGAGGACGGGAGGATGGAGGGGGGTAGGAGGAGGGAGAGGAGGTAGGAAGAGGGAAAGGAGGATAGGAGGAGGAGAGGGAGGAGGAAGAGGAAGAGAGGCCATTAGTGCTACAAACTGAGGATTGGTGCAAATGCCACAGAGGGAGTGCCCAGTGGGTGGGCGCGGCCAGAGGTGCTGAATGGACAGGAGGCTGCTTCCCAAAGGAGTCGGGGAACACACCAGTCCCCAGTATAGCACCCTTGGGGCCTGGAGTGGGAGGTCCCAGGAGCACGCTAAGTCCACACTAAGCCCATCAGGAATTCTTGTGAGAGCTGGCCGCTGGTCTCCTCTGCTTTGGATAAAGCAGGTGGTAGTTGTGTTGCACCTGGAGTCTGAAAAGGGGAAAACAGGAAGGAAGAGATGGAAAGGTCAATATTTTCCTGGGATTCCAGGGAGAACAAAAGCAAAGAAACTGATGGGGAAGATAGAGCACCATGTAGGTAACAACACAGCCGGATAAAGACCTGTGTTGGAGAATAAAAACATCACAAAGTTAACATTTAAACTGTTTCACACACGCCAGATACCATCCCACAAGCTGTGTTCACTGTAATTTGCACCAGGGCCCAAGGTAGCAGGGGCTGAGTTTTAATCTGTTTGCAAGTGAGAAGCCAATGTACAGAAGACTAAAGTGACTCGCCTGAAGTCACAGGTGGTGGCAAAGGTGGGCTTAGAACCCAGGACCCTGGCGTCACAATCTGAACTACCAGGTACACATCATGGCCCGAGCTCTGGGTTAGAGGCCCGCTCAGGTGCTTGGCGGTCATCAGCACAGGCTTCAGCAACTCTGGTCGAGTCAGACTTTGTAAATCGGGTGTGACGGTAGCAAGAGCAGACACCACCCAATGGGCATTGCAGCAGGTGGAGGGAGCACGAGTGGTGAGAGCCACACAGGGACGGTGCACAGTGCACAGCGCCACACTGCTCGCAGGTCCCCGAAGAGGCAGCAGGCTGAGGGCCGCGGGAGGCACTGACAGCCACGGTGCAAGGGGAAAGTGGGATCAGGAACACGGTGGGAACCAGGCTGGGGACGTGAGATTTAGTCACGATGGGAACCAGGCTGGGGACGCGAGATTTAGTCACAATAGGAACCAGGCTGGGGATGCGAGATTGGGTACGGCGCCTTAATGACTTCACTGAGAAGTCCCAGTTGGATACAAATAGAAATTAGGAATAATTTGACTTTTTTTAAAAGAGGAAATGGACATAAAACATAAGACAGACAAAATACATCGTGATAAAAGTATTAGAGGTTGCTGTGGAGAAAACAATGTATCAGGATATACTGTTGGCTTGAGAAAGAGGGGAATACCATTTTGAGTAAAAAGAAATGAATGTAATTGGCGTGCGCCAAAGTCTCAGGCTCCTCCCTCTTGGAAAGTGAGAGCTAAGTGTAAAGAAGCATCTTCTCGGGGACTCCCCCACTGGAGAGTGCTGATGGCAACATGTGGCTGCCAGGACTCTGTCCAGAACGCCAGGGATGAGGGGCTACAGGAGGCTCCCGCTCAGAGACGGGCCTGAACCTCCACTCGGGGGCTCCATGGAAACTGTGGGAACACCCTGAGTCTGTTTCAGCTTCCTCATCTCTAAAACCAGGAGGACACCCCCTTCCTCACAACTGCATTGCTAGAAATCGCCTTTTTTTTTTTTCAGAGTCAGTCTCACCATGTCGCCCTGGGTAGAGTGCTGTGGCATCACAGCTCACAGCAACCTCAAACTCCTGAGCGATTCTCTTGCTTCAGCCTCCTGAGGATCTGGGACACAGGCACCCACCACAATGCCCAGCTATTTTTTTGTTGCAGTTGTCATTGTTGTTTAGCTGTCCCTGGCCAGGTTCGAACCTGCCAGCCTGGGTGTATGTGGCCGCTGGCGCTGTAACCACTGAGCATGGGCGCCAGGCCAGAAATTGCATTATAACCTGCTTCTGAGCACCAGGTAAAAGCCATCCATCTACTGCAGGCCTGCAGGAGGCCAAATACAACCCCACTCTGCACTGCTCTCCCGCAGGCTGAGGGAGCCATGGCTCTGCATCGCACCCCACCACTCCAACATGTTCTCTGGCCCAATTCCTATTCTCAGAGTGGATTACAGAAGAAGGGGAGAGAATGGAGGAGCCACAGCACAATCACAGCTTCTATGTGAGTAGAAAGACAGGCGCAGAGCCACACGGCCAGCCGCTTACCAAGGCCACTGTGCAGAGGCTTATAAACTGGCTGGAAACCAGACTGTGTCTTTCTAGAATGACAGAAGTAATAGTCAGGCTCCCATGAAAGGCTGTGATGAGACTCAGACTATGATTATGAGGGTTAACTCCTTTTTCGTAAGCCCACCTGGGATTCTTTTAAAACAGTTTTTCATGGAAAACTGTATTTTTTGGAT